GGCTCCGCCTCGTCCCCTCTCAGCTTCGCCCTGGATGGGCCCCAGCACCTGCCCCGGGGCCTGGTCCTTCGCTGCCCTCACGTATCCGTATCCTCAAAGGTTCCCCGAGGCACACGGGGATCCCTCTCTTCTTACTGCGCCGGCCCGGAGCCCTCAGGCCGGGTGCAGCCGGGGCAGCCCCCTCCTCACGGCCCTCTGGCAGGGCCGGCCATCCCCCAAGGGAAACGTGCACAGAGAGACGACAACGAGCAACTTGGTCATCACTGTGTAAAGAGGGCTGGGGAACGATCACAGATCTGTCTTCACCGCAAAAAAAAAAAAAATCTCGTGTTTTACTAGTCTCTGTCGGTCTTTATCCCTTTGAAATATTGGGCATTAGCCTAAATTTCAGAGTTGCTTCTATAGCAATGGTAAAAGGGAAAGTTGAAGGACTGATTCATGGAGGTTCCTCCAGATGTTACATGGCTGTGGAGCACCGCAAAAGCCCTACGTTGTGTCGCTGTCTGTGCTGGTGTTTAGAAGAAAACCTAATTAATCTTGACTAGAAAACTCACCCAAATACAGCGATTTTTGATGACATGTTTTTCCATGGATTCAGCTATATTGAAGCGTGGGGGAATCTGTAGCCAATAAATGAACAATGCACCAAATGTGGGAAACCAGCCCAGTTTTGGCCACAGTAACTGTGCCTTCGATAATGCCACTCTGCCATGGGAATGCTGAACTAATTAGTCTAGCAGCCCCCACATCTACAGGTACTTGAAAAAAATCTAATTGCTTACATATTTTTTTCCTTCTAACAGCAAACACCCAGCTGTTTTTTCCAGAGCAGCATAACTGGCATATACAGAACATATCGGGAAGCCAAGCAGGCAATTGTCTGTGCTGTTTATTTATATGTAAGTCTTATGTAGATGGGAGACTACACAAACAAAATGGAGATACTAGTAAAGTAATCTTAAAGTGTTCAACTGCAATCAGTAGGACTTATTTGGAGGACAAGAGCTGTACTTAGGTTCTTTTGAAATTACCTATTCTTGACAGATTTTAAGAATGGAGAAAATAGTAAGACTTTTGATGAAAAACAGCTGAAATTATTCCCTTTAAACAGGGAACAATTAGTGCATGGAAGAAATGGGACAATTGATTTTTTATTTAAAAGATTTAAAAATTATATTGCACTAACAATAGGAATCCAGCAGCCTTGAAAAGAAGTTATTTCCAGGAATCATCTGCAACTGTCCTATAAACTGGCTTTAAGTGGTATTTAAATAGCTTTTAATACAAGCATTATGTAAAAGTCTGCCTCAAAATGGGTTTGTCTCCAAATTACAGCTTCATGGCAAAAGGAATAAAGGAAGGAGGGGTGGAGAGGGTACACAAAGGGAAGATATGGTTTTTATTGGCTTTTGATATGCAGGCAAATATGAAGTCAGAAATAGTGACAGAATCCAGTCTTCATACCCTGCAGGCTGCGTGGTCAGTTATTTAGTCTTTCTCAGGTTTATTAGGAGATGAGTACATGCCTAAGGATGCCGTGTGGGAGGGACACCGCTGGCTATAGGTTCTCCAGGAAGCTTCGGGGCCTCAGACAGGGGTGCAGCATTGACGGATGGGCAGCCTGAATCGAATTACTCCTCTGGACTGACACAATACACTGGATACAGACACATCCTCTGCCCAATGCCAGACTTCCCTACAAAACTCGTGTTACTGGTGTGGCGCTGGGGGGTGGCTCAGAACCTGCCGGCATTCCGAGCAGTTGCCGGGGGTTGGTGCCTCCACAGGTGATCATGGAGCAGTAGCACGTTTCCAAGAGGGTCACCTAGGACATGCCTGCCCAGTGGTTTTGGCTTCATAGAAAAAGCTCTTCCTCGACTCGATGGAACGTACACGGTCTTCGCCAGTGGTTGGGGATGAAACTAAGAGTGAGTTTCCATCTCTCTCGGTCATTTCTTCCTCTGTTCATTTCCATCTCCTCACTGCTGCCCCAGCAGTACTTTTCCAGTCCTGTATTTCAGTATCTCAAACTTTTAAAGTCCTTGTGCTACCAGACAGTTTATCTTCTTCACAATGCTCCCAGTGGCCCAAATTTTCTTAGTATCTAGAAATTGAGGTTGAGTGTTTGCAACAGAATCGTAGGCAGATGACAAGAGGAAAAGGATGTTTCTTTAGCATGCTGCTGCCTGCAGAAACTGCAGAATTTAAGGGTGACCTTGGAGAAAATCAGGACAGTGTTAGGGGAACTGTAATGTAAGGTCTGTCAAGTATCTAAACTTTCTGTAGCACAGAACAAAGAGAAAATCCAACTTCCTTGGAGACTATATAGACTGATATCAGGTATAGTAAAAAGACAAGTGTCTCATCTAAAAGTGTGAATCTTAGCATTCCTCCTCCTTTTGTAGGCTTTGGATTAGTCACAGCTTTCATGGTTTTAAATCTCTCATGTCCAGCAAGATAACTTCATGCAGTAAGAAGCAGCTTAAAATCAGGATTCTGGCTTCTGATTAAAGTTAGCTAGATTTGTTATTAGAATTTTTTGTTTGCTGTTTCACTGCTGATCATTTGCTGACCTACAACTGCTCATGAATTTTAATGGAATTTGCTGAATAATTTTGGCTAAAAAATAATATAAATTAGCTTTACTTCGTATCATCTGTTTACATTTATTGGCCTGGGAGTTAAGTACTCATTCTGGAAGTAAGAAACTACGATTCAGTTCCCTCTTCTGGCTGAAAAAGATTGAAACACACATTTCTTGAAAAGTGACCAAGAACATCATAGAAAAGGTTTCAATCCCTTCTGCTGCTCCTGTTCTACTTTGCATAAATTCCTGAGCTGGAAAAACAGTAGCATGTCAGACATCCAAGCTCTCAGAATTATCAGCAGATGAAAGTGTGTTCCCGAGTGGGTCTTCCTTTGATTTTCTTGCATGACCATGAAAATTAAGTATTTCATCCAAATGAAATGTGGTATTCTCAACAACAAAAAAATCCTGCACTTTTCATTGGTAAGGAAAAAAAAATTCAAACCATTCCTAGTTTTTCAGTTCAGCAGCCAAATTGACAAATCAAATGTTCACATCGCTATACTTCCAATCCTAATTCTTTTATAGACATTCTGTGCTGTCATTTAGAGCCTGATCCAAAGCTTTACTGAAGCCATTGGAAAGATGACCAAGTTTCCGTATTTTAAAGAAGAGGGGTAAAGTGGTGGAAGTTTTCATTAAGTGATTCCAGACCTCTGGAGATGGTCAGCCAAATTGACAAATCAAATGTTCACATCGCTATACTTCCAATCCTAATTCTTTTATAGACATTCTGTGCTGTCATTTAGAGCCTGATCCAAAGCTTTACTGAAGCCATTGGAAAGATGACCAAGTTTCCGTATTTTAAAGAAGAGGGGTAAAGTGGTGGAAGTTTTCATTAAGTGATTCCAGACCTCTGGAGATGGTCTCAAGCAGTTAAGTTATTGCTACCCTACTGTCAGAAGTTACATTTAGAGATTACATCTTAAAACAGAGACAAAAAAGTCATTTTTAACAAAATACAGTTTGTTTTAGGAGTCTAAAGCACTCATGTGACAGTCTTAACTTTTCCTGGCTCTTGATGAGGAGAACGGGCTTGAGAGATGGAGGATTTACTTTATTACCCTATTATATTTCGAGGGGGAGACACTGGGATAATGTCATTTATATTGTACTACTTGTATTATGCATTTTAATGGATAATGGATGCTCAAGGGTATTTTACTTCTGTAGGTGCTAAATATGGCAAGTACAGTCCCTTCCCTCACATCAGCAGCAGGGTGTGAAAGTAATCTGCTGGAAATTTAGAAATTAATCTCCTCTATAAGTATTGATTTGAAAAATCAATTTTTTATAGGAATTCAATCTTTTCCTGAAGTCCTTAACTGACAACTCCTCTGTTATGTTATTCTGTACCCTGTTCTCTACCTTCCCTGAATATATCGCCATTTGTAGTGAATACTTAACAGCACTATTGCTTTTTCTCTTGGTAAAATGTGTGACTTTTTAAGAAATAAGTTTCTAAGTAAAAACTACTTTCAGTATATTTATTTGCAGAAAGTTAGTTTATGGAGTACACTAACTTTTTATAAGTATTGCAATAATGGCTTTTTGGCAGCAACTCAGCAGGCAATGCCTATCTAGAAAAGCAATTAAGATTGAGGGTCTTAACTGTATGGACGATTAAAAATGGGTACAGCACCTGCTCAAATGTCTCCTTAAACGTTTTACTGAAGAATGATATCACACTTTCAACTAGTAAAATTTTCCTCTCACTTTTTGAAGGGCAATTGCCAGCACCGGAAAACATCTCTCAGCACAGACTGATTGCAGCATTGAAGGCAAATATTAGGATGAGTGAGCAAGGATTGGGTCTCATAATCATACAGAATGGGCCATATCTCCAGATAACAAGCCTTGTTGAGAAAAGCTCTGCAGCTAATGATGGAAAGCTAAAACCAGGTAAAAAGGATGAACAGTGATATTTAAATTTAATAGCATTGAAAATATTCTTGTTCTGCATTTATGCTTTGAGCCTGTCTTTGATTTATTTACACTTACACAGATCAAAAGAAACTCAATTTAAAATTACACAGAAGAGAAACTAGCACAAACTGTATAAAGCTCCGTGCCAGCATTCCATGGTAATGAAATACTTGTGATCTTAAAATAGCTGGTAGGGGTGACTGTTTCATGATCAGATCAAGATTTAAGTCTATATATTGTTCTCCAGCAAAAACAGAATTCCTATTCATCAGCAGGTTTGTCCAAAAATAGTTTGACTATTACCTTTACACAGCAATAAAACTTGAATAATCATTCGTTGTTCAGTGCATTGTTGTTCAAGTAATTTCACTCTACAAGTAACACAAAACTTCCTGAAGTCTTGAAATTAATTTGCCTTATTGTTTGCTTTTTATTTCTCTTTATTATACAGAAAGTTACAAGGTGGCAATGGACTAATCTCTGTGCTCTTAAAAATCCATGCAGGTGTTCATTTGCTAAATGCTTTAAACCTGAAATGTGCCATATCACTATTAACAGACTATTACTAGTTATTAAGGTTTCTTGTGGAACATCATACTCCTATATTAAGCCTGTAATTGAAAGCTCTGTAAATTTGACTGCTTCTTATTGGTCCCTAGACCAATTACATTAGACTCATGAACAGTTTGGGGACAATAGTGTGCTATGTTATTACCATTTATTAAATTGTCTCTAACAAAGAAATCTATGAAGCTAAGACTTGAGCGTAATGAAGTAATTCAGAAATTTACTGGCTGTATAGTGAAAATGCATATCTTTAAATTAGAACAATTTTCCCAGCATTGCCTTTATAGTTTGGGCAGTCCTTTCTTCTTGCACCTTTTAGAGAGAATTAGAATTCCAAGCACTAGGAAGAAAGATCAGCTTGTTTGATGCAATAAAAGCCATCGAGTGGAGTTCTTAACCTCTTTTTAGACAAGGCTTTGCACTTTTCATCGAAGTATAAAAATCAGTGGAAAAATCCTGAGCATAAAATAGAAATGGATTTGGATTTGAACAAGTACTTTTTTTTTTTTTACTGTTATTTTAGGAGCTGATAGCTTTAATCTATTCCCTAAAAAAAGTATACAAAAGCATATATATGATACTGATTTGGTTATTTTGGGGATTTTTTTTTTTATAACCATAAGGTAAAAAATACAGACTATTAATCACTGAAACTAAGTAGTTCTGTTTGCAACAATTTGAAAAAGGCAAGGTCCAAAAGCATATTCAATAAAGGCTACAAGAACACGGAGTCAAATTACTTGTGGCATGTGATGTGTTTGATTTGCTGCAGCAAGTATTGAGTTTAAAGGGGGTTGAGGACTGGTAACAAACATTGTCTCTTTGTAGCTGATCTTAGTTTTTGGAGCCAGAAGAAACAATTTGAGCATACTTCATGGGGCACCTGGATCTAACTCAGCACATTACACACACACACAAAAAAGCAAACAGCTGAATTTCTTCAATTTGTGTTTAGAGTGAACTTACAAAAACTTTGTATTTAAGACCAAAGCTGTAAAATTTTGCAGAAAAGATAGTGTTTTGTAGAAGCTCCATCTCTTAATGATACCAGAGGCAGTGCACTTATTTTGGCACTAATACCAAAGTACAGAGCATCTTAGGAGTTTTTCTTGCTGTGGATTAGGTTTTATCTTTATGGACTTATTTTTTCAGTTAAGTAAGCTGAGTATTATCTGTACAATTTCAAACTGCAACCTAAAAGAACAATTTTATTACTGCTTATAGCTTGAAAGAGCTGGTGCCATTCTGCTGACTTTAATGGGGAGGAGGTAGAAATCAACAGAGGTAGTGTGAGGCACTAATGTCTTCAAATCCTACAGTGAGACTCACCAAACTCATATGCATGTGTGCATGCCCTATTCTCCATGCCAGCAAGAAGAAACAGGGCTGCTTAGTACTTGTGTTTCCTCAAAATACCTTCACAGAGCAAGAGGTTATCTCCACATAAATGTTCAGTGGCCACTGAATGATATAAATCACAAAACTGATAGGTGAACTGAGAAGCTGGGTGGTTCAGACTCTAGATGCTGGAGGAGCAAAATTATCTATGTCTGCAGTTCAGAGATGGCTTTGACTTGCCACAACAGCGTTATCAGCACATGTGGGCAGAAAACACGGAATTCTGAAAGAATCTATTAAAAGCCAAGTGTGTCTTGCAGATATTTTAAAGCATAAGTACATTTATGTCTATGCATTTTGAAACACATAATCTGGGTGATTTACCTTTCTGTTTGAGGCTGAGAACTTACATAAAACTGCTGGTAAAATGTTTGCTGTTGCTTTTTTGGTATCTGCCATCCTGGTACTTGTTCCAGAACTTGTTTGCACCCCAGTAGAACCAATATCTTGTGACAAGCTAGAGTGGAAAGAGGGTGTGATGATGATGGAGTAGAAGGAGGAGTTAGTGGAAAAAGTGAATGAAAAAATGATAGTCAGTAGTTCAAGTAAATAGTTTTAAAGCCTGTAAATTTTTGCTACAGGCATTTTAACCCAAAAGGGTTAAGAAGAAAATAGAGCAGATGGAGAGAGGCTCCTTGCTCTGCCTAATATGGCAGCAGACAGCTGTACTGCTTGTTTAAATCCCCTATGCTGTTCTGTTGCAGTTCAATACATAATGTTTACTGATACTGCTCCTCTGTGCAACTGTTTCTGCCAGGCTGCTGATAGAGCTGTATTCTGCTGCAGATTGATTCTGCTTGCCTTTTGCAGTCTTCAAAATTACAGGTTTACACAGTAATTGCGATTCCCCCAACCTCTCAAAGCCCATCTTGTTATACCCCATGGTATATATAGGTGCTGGGGCTTCTGTACTCTGTTGTTCTTGGATGCAGTACTGCTTTTTGCAAACTGCAGCTCAGTGCTTTCCACTGGCAGCAGGTAGTAAGAATATTATTTGCAGCTTTATCCCTTCAAACAAACAAACAAACATACAAACACAAAAAACATCACCCCCGCTTTCTGCTGGAACTCCTCACTTAGATTCTGCACCGGCTGTTGTAGGCACCTCCTACTTCTCCCCTGGCCTCTCTTGACATTGTCTTGCAATGTGCCCAAGTGTTGGTTGTTCTCAGAGAGGAGGAACAGGCACTAGCCACCGAGGAGAGTCAAACCCTGGAAACCTCCAGGGGCCCAGACAAACATAAGGTGACACGGCTGTTACACAGATTTTCTAGCATCCACCTAGGTAAACTCAGCCACTGTGGAGGAAGGGGTGTATGCTTGGCTCCATACCAACAGATAAACAAAAAGGTGACATACAAGCGTAGGCAGCAGATATGTATAGACAGGGTATTCCAGCTGTGAAAAGGTACAGTGAAGCAGTGGAGAGATACCAGCAGAACTGTTTGGAGTGCAACTGTGTAACCTCAGCTCAACCTTGCTGGAGTCTGTCTGATCCCAAGTAGTGCTCCTGATTAGAGCACGCACCATTGTACCTTTATCTTGCCTAAAAAACCTCACAGAAATGCAAGGTAGCACAGAATAGGCAATCTAAAGTTTAGCTCGTTCGCTCAGAAAAATCCCAAAGTAAGTAAGTGAACTGCAGTTTTCCATAGTGTTGTGAAAAGGTTAGCTCTTAACAGACATAAAATCTTTTATTAAAAAAGAAAGCAAAAGAAAAAAATTGCATCCAGTTAGTTTGAGAGCTGATAAACACATGCTTTTACATAAAAATATGAAAGTGGTTAAGACTACATCTTTTGTAATACGAACATTAAAAAAATTGAAGAAGTCTCTTAAACTGATTGCTGTCAATTTTCTTCCTTGGCAGGTGATGTTCTAATAAAAGTTGGACATGCTAAAGTTTTAGGATGGACTCTGCGAGAGCTTAGGCAACTCCTGCACAATATTCCTGTAGGAACTACCCTACAAATCAGAGTTTACAGAGGTTTTGTTGAAGTACCTCAACACTGGCAAAATGCAGTTGAATTAATTCCTGAAGCAAAGCTTCCTGTGATGACAGCAGAGTAAGAAATAAGTATTGTACATAACTAGAATTTCACACCTTGATTATTATTCTAGCAAGAAACAAGAAATAGTGTAATAGCTTTTTCATTTTAGGATAAAATGTTAGTCTAAGGATTTACTTTCATTTGTTTTTCTGAAATAGAAAACTCTGCTTTGAAATGAACAAATACCAAAAGAAAAGTTTACTTTTCTAGTTACAGTGAAGATGGGGTCATGACAAACATTAATTTTAGACATGCCCCTTCCTGCCTCCACAGAGACCATAAAAAGTCTGGCTGGCAAGAATGCCACTGAAGTCAAAGAGGCCATGTCGATTGTCATAGCCAAGGATCTAGACAATCAGAAGTAGCTGATGATACCAAGATGGAGGTCTTGCTACAACCATGTAAAAAGCTTATCTGTTTTTTAATCAGTCTAACTACTGACAGTGGTTGACGATTATGACTTTTAAAATTAAACTTCAGGAAAAATAAACTCTTCTTCAGAGCCACTGCATACAGAAGCTTTTAAAAATATATTGCTCTCAATCCTAAAGGTGGCTCATATAGCAAGTATAATTAATCTAGATGGGATACAAGGCAGTTACGCATTTTCCTGAGGCACAAAGTTGTAAAAGAAAAAAAACCTCAGAGGTAGGGGAAGGAACAGAAGTATTAAAAAGAGATAATTAGGCTAGAACAGCAGAAAGGAAGCTCACGCAGCAAGGGGCTTTCCAAGAGATTAAACCTCTAAGCTTATGTTTAAATAAATCAAATTATTTGCTATTCTGAAGGAGCAGAAAAAAGATAGCTTGCTTTTCTATTGACTGAATTACAACTTAGCTATTACTTTAGAGTCCAAATGAAACAGTGTGTAAAGGACTACGGACAATAGTATTAGTTTAGTATTAGAGGAGCTTCAGAACTAATGGACTTGCCTTTAGCACAAGTATTCGCAAAAAACTCAAGACCATGATTAGTTAATTAAACGGCTATGGGAATTATCGCATGTTAAAGTAATACCATCCTGTGTATTTTCAGCACAAGTGAAGATGCTGAGGATGAAGATGACACCGGATCCAGTAGCAATGATGATGTAGACTTGGAAACTTTTCAGTATAAATCTTCCCAGTCATACTGTTTTGAGCTCACTCCTAAGTTACTATCAATATCCAGGTATCTGATATAGGCCAGACACTTAGAGTAGGCACAGACACCGGTTGTGATGCTGTACTTCATAATTATATTGATGCATTGTGCAATCCTAAGTTTGATGCTAGTGGTAGACCTCCTTCATACTAGGCTGTGGAAAACAATGAGACCAGTTCCTCTTCCTCCTGCCCTTCTGTATTAGATACGTCCTATCTGGAAGAACTTGCCTTTGTTTCAGAATAGCTCAAAACTTGACTTCTTCAAACCTAGATTTCTGAAGTTGTATCTTATCTGTTTTAATACATGCCTAGGCTTCCAAAAAATCTAGATGTCCTAAGATACTTGAAATGATATATTAGCTATATAAAGCTGTTTTAGCAATGCCCTCCCTCCCCTCGAAGATGTCTATCAGTGCTACTTGTGGAGAAGACATTCAGAAACACTACCTCTGCTAGTCCCAGACAAATAGCAGTTGCAAGCTCCAAGGTCTACTATATTCATCTTTGTTTGAAGGTAAATTTCTTCATTTACTTGATATAAGGATGGTGCAGACAGTTTACCAAGAACTTTCCCAGAATACATGGACAACTAGTGGCAATTACAGTATTTGTCTGCATCCAATGATAATTTTTGGTCCATCTATTTTATATATTGACTAAATTCACCTTATTTTCTCACTGTAGTTTTACACTCAGTGTACAGAGCCAGACTTATCAGCATTTTAGATACCATTTTCAGTGGAAAAAAAATCAGCACAAAATGTATGAACTCAGCACTTTATTTGATGAGTGCAAGCCACAATTACTCCAGATTAATTTTCTGAAAGAACTGAATTCATAAATAACATGTTAGTAGTTAATTTATTTAGAACATAGGTGACTTAGAGCTCAGGTCCATCTTGAATACGCATCCCAGTTTTGTTTTTACAACTCATCAAGAAAAGGAGTATTTCCCAAATCCCCGCTAGCTGCCATTGATTTCTTCCCATTGACAAACTTCTTTGCAGCCTGAAAATAATTCAGAAAGATGGATATAAGGAAATATTCACTACAACAGAATTTATCTTGCTGCTCACAGACTCAGCTTCAAATTACTAAAAGAAACAACAAATCCCAACACTATTAGAGTACATCATCAAGTAAACAGTTTTCCTTTTGCTGTCTAAACTTACTTGCTTCTAATCCAGCTCCTCCGTTACTTTATAATCTAAACAGGAATGGCAGAATGACAGTTGGATGTAAAAGGCATAAACTCTTTGAAAATGGTTATTCCTAGAATAATTGTTACACAAGATACAGTGGATCTCTCCTTACTACTAAAGCTAGTTGGTACTGCAACACAAATTAGTGGTGACTCTGAAAAAACAAGTTTTTTATCTTAGAATTTCTCTCTGATGGATTGCTGTATGAAGTTTGCTTCAACTATAAGCAACAAGATAATTTGGAATAGCAATGCAGTTATGTCAATTTATCATTGAAAGCCTAATTGTTTTATTAAGCACACCAAATATTCTAGACTCAGGAATCGTAAAAGCCTTGACACAGAAGTGCCTGCACTGGAACGAATATCAAGTTTTCCACGAATACTAGTTGGCAGTTTTGGTAAATTTAAGTGAAGCAGATGAGAATTTCACACACTCCCAGCTACGCTAGTTTTACAATGTATTGGATTAAAGGGTCTTCTCTTAATAAAGATAGCCAGCTGGGATTTGTAAATGAGTTGCTTTTTTTTTAAAGATAGTATATGTGTCTGTTTATAAACACAGACAAACGATCACCAGTTTTGTATAAAAAAAGGTTACACAGTGATTAAGGAACACCTGTAGATGCCGACACATACTTACATTCACAACATCAGCAGTGGCTACAGAGTCAATTTTTTGAGCAACAACAGATGGTGATGAGTGTGTGCCAGAAACCAGTGACTCAGAGCCAATTTCATTCAGTAACCCTTCTGCAGTCTCCACTGACATCAAATAGGTGGCTTTCAGCTGGTTTCTGCCGTCAAATAAAGCATTAAGGATGAGTGAGCATGCAAGTCCTGTTATTATGTTCCCCACCACCCCCATAAGTGCAATGAGTTTTTGGTGCTTTTTAAGTTTTCAAGATTCCTCTCCATTTTGAAATGTTTTCCTTTTCAAGTATGGAAGGGTCCTGTAGTTAGGAAAGAGGCACCACAAATAGTCCAAGCATGAAAATGACAGGGTACTTGAACACCTACGGCCTTGGAATGATCAGCCACCCCACACAGTCAGAAGATGTCTAGCTCAGAATTTGTTTCTGTTTGAAGTAACTAATGCAGGTACTCCAGGAATTAGACAAACTAATCTATCAAGTTTAAAAATTAGGTTTAAAATTGATTCCAGTTTTTCATCAAGAACAGATGTACGCAGAGCAATTTTGTTGTAAGCAACAAAGAAGCAATGGATGTAAATGGTTACGTTCCTTGTGCAATTGTTCCATGTTCTGTTAAAAGACAGCAAGCTTATACTGTTTTTTCTGTTTCACACAGTCTCACTGCTACATGTGAAAGTCTTATTTTTATAAGCTAGTCCTTCTATTCTTTTTTAAAAGTTGAAATGACAGAAAATGGTTTATTCCAATAGATTAAGTAGCTTGGTATTTTTGACTGAATTGCAAGACTCTGCAAATATCACTGATCTTGATTTTGGTTTTTGGGGTGGGTTTTTTTGTCACTGAAGGAAAAAGAGCAATATAGAAAATATGTGAAGCCATTCCAGAAGGGAAACTCACACACACACAAAAAAAGAAAGCCACAGCACTGTAACTCCCTAATACTAGGCAGCTTCTTAAAAAAAAAAAAGACCAAAAAAATGACCAAAAAACCCCCCACAAAACTAATAATGCCAAACATAAAGGTCCAGAATTCACCATTTAGCTACTAGTGACTAAGGCACAAGCAATCATGCCTAGGTTATCATGTTTTGTGTAATCAAGCTTTACGTGGAATCTTCTAAGTATTTTATATACGCAACAGACAAGATTTTAATTTTTCTACTTGAATAAACCTGTACTATATTGTTGTATTGCACAACTACAGTTTTAGAGGCTCAGTGCAGTTTAACACCACTTGGAGATCAAGCACCAACTAACGTGCACAACCCTCTATAAATTAGAAACGCCAAAACTTTGTTGGCGTTACTGCATCTCTAATAGTAATTCTCCCCCATCTCAAATATTCCTAGGGGCACGTATTTTGAGCACTTGGATGTAACATCACTAATTCAGTACTTTACACTTGCAGACCACCATTACTACTGTTCTTTGAAGATGCAGAAGATTGCTTAATATAATTGTTTTGGGAATTGCTGCAGTGTGACTGTAAAGGCAATTACCTAAATAATGTAATTTAGGATTCTAATTTAAATACATCTTAATACTACAGAGTATGATTAAAACGACAGCATCTGCTGATATTTGCTAATTTCTTACATTGAAACAGTTTTCAGAAAACATTGACACTTATCTAAGAAGGTTTTATTAGGTAATACCACTAGCTGAGAATCAGTGTAGCTTTGAAAGAAAAAGTATTCACAATGCTTCAATTCTAACGCAGGAAAGCAAGCAGTTCCCCATGGAAATAATAACGATAAGCTTTGCTGTACAGAATAGTCTAAGTGTTTGACAAGTAGCGGCATGTTAAGAAACTTCTCTTTACAACACACAAGACGGTTCTTTACTCACTTACTTTGCCTTTGTGACATCGTCATCAGTGACACTGCCCTGAGCAACTGCCTTTATCTGGTTCAAAGCAGCTTTAATGACCTGAGGATAATTAAATCATTTAAGACTTCTTCCGCATTAAATTTCAACATGTTATTTCTATTATCTGACATCTTAGAAACTTCAGGGGAGAGCAGCTGACAGTGTTGGGATTGTCTGCCTGAACTCAATTCTAAACAGCTTTATAACAAAACTAAAACCACTGTAATAAATGCCCAAGTGAGACACAAAAAACAGTGTGGATTTAAATTGCAACACCACACGAATTTGCATGGTCTCACCATTTTTCATGAGAGCATTCAGTTCTGCCAGCTTCGAGAGCCAGCACGTTCCTCATGATATGCTTAGGCTTACACATGTAAATCAGCAATTACAATCAGCAATTCAAGGTATTTTACTAGCTCTAGTTTGTATTAGGTATTTGTACTTCCCAGAAAGCAAGTCTCATTCCCAGCATACAGAGTTAAGTCATAACTGAACATGCAGCATTCTTATACAAGAAACCAGATGAATTGACTTTTATTAGATGAATCAGTCACTATCTCAAATCAAAACACTAGTTTGAGAGTTATGTTGTTAATACTTAAATTCTAATCAGCGACTCACCTCCCCAGCATTTGGAGCCTGGGATATGGTATAAATCCCAAAGAGGCCAGAATCAGAGTAGTTAACATTAAATGCAGAAGCCTGCAAAACAAACATTATCATCAACTCTTTCAAGTATCAGAACAACTCAGCATCAAGCATAGGAAAATAATTATGATTAGGATCTAAAATAGTGTAATTCAGGAAGCTAAACTCCATCTGTGCAGAGGAAAGATCATATTGGAAGGCCTTCTCTGAAATACTGTAACTTGTGCAAGAATGAACTTATTAAGATTCTAGCTGGAGGGAGTAACCTCTCAAAGGATAGTACGCATTTTACTTAGAATATTAGAGTACGGTAACCTTTTGAACTTACATCAAATGGCTGGGTAGTTGCTTTAGCAACACCCTGGGATAATTTGCTTGTAGCATTGCTTCCCCTCTTGATTAGGGGTCCAGCACCTAAAATATGCTGAAGAACACTGAACGCATTTGCTTCTGCACTTCCAACAGCAGCTCCTTCTATTACAATAGCAGCATGGACAAGGCTATCACCATTCTGTTCTCTGATTTCTCCTAAAAATACAACAACAGAAAAAAAGGTAAGGCAGTGTTCACTTAGAAACTACTGTATGTTCAGAGGTATGGAAAGGAAACATTTCTAGCCAGGAGTTGGTTTCATGAGAGAGAAGCCAGGGTGTGAAGTTAT